AAGGATATGTTAAATAAATAAAACTGATTGTAGACAAAAAGGAATTGTTGTGTTTCCGCATATGACACAGATCAGAATTTATCTTAGAAATCACTGAAAGCTCTGAGTCTATTTTGTCCCAACAATAAATTAAAACATTCTAAATGAAATGTTAACTTACCTTAAAAGTTAAAATCAGAATGAATGTCAAAGTACAGTGATCAATTACATCAGTAAATGTCTGACCCTAACCTAGATGTCAGAATCCAAGATTTTCCAAAGATTGATCAACATTTCAAGGGCTTTTCTTTTTTCCTATCACTTACACTAAGACTCTCCAGAAATTTCAAGCATAACAAGAGCCTCAACTCAATAGTACCTGTAAAAGAAAATGAAGCTTCATTCTCTTGGACCCAAAGCTTCAGACATCTGAGTATATCAGAGTTTACCTCCCTTCTCCATAGAACACAGTATTCTCAAGACCTAGACCTGACCACTAACCAGATGTAGTATAAACCAGGCAGAGTTATGAGACAGGAAATTTTCAATAGGTCTATTGATTTCAATTGAAGTTGCAATTTCTGCTGGTATAACAAAGGTTTAAAAAGATGAGTTATCCTCCAACATAATCCTCAAACACAATGCAGGAGAGCCTACATTATTTTATTTCCTAATTAGATATTGCCTATTTCTCAATCAGAACTACAACTGAAGGTATTCATTTACTTATTAATTTTTTTATTCAAGCCACAGAAACTCAGAAAATGCAGGGAATGGATCAAATACAAAAAATACAAAAATAAACAAAATACACAGGCTCCTGCTCTTACGAATATATGGCTCCAGGAAAGCAGGCATTTAGTACAATAGTCACATAAATGTGACTTTCAATTGTGATAACTGTTTTGAAGACAGGTATACAGCACTCTACACATTTGAAACAGAGAGATTTAACTTTGTCAAAAAGACTCCTCAGTAAGACATGATTTGAAGGGGAAAAAATAAGCATTTCAGGCACTGAGTACCCAAAGGCTGCATAGCAGGACAGAGTCAATACTGAAAGGTCAACAAATCAAAGATACGAGAAGAAACTGTGATGTGAGATGAAGCTGGAGATGAATAAAAGTAGGCAGATTCAAGAGGTAAAGGACAAACTCAATGGGATTTAAGGATGAATCAGATGGTGGGAAAGAGAAGGAAATCCTGGCTTTTGCATCTGGATGCAGAGTGGTATGAGTTATTGAATTGCAGCCACTAAAGGAAGACCAAATTTGTTCTCTTTTTTGTTTTTCAGTTTTTTTTTTTCAGTTTTTTTTTTTTTAATTTTATTTTTATATTCCCCATACAATTGCAACCCTAGTCTGCCTGCTCTGTTCCCCACTCTGTCTCTGGTGAATCCTCTCACCCACCACATCTCTGGCCTATACCCCAACTCTTGTATGCATAAGTAAATCAATCTTAAAAAAAATTTAAAAAATTAAAAAATTTGAAAAAAAAAAAAAAAAAAAAAAAAAAAGCAAATGTTAGCGAGTAAAGCTAGATACAAAAGTTGGGGTTTAAAAGAGCATGGGTAGGTTAAGATACATAGACAGAAGGCCCTGTTCTCATACAACCTTCCAGGGCAGAGAGATAACAAAAATCAACACACAAAATAGTTTTTGTGGAGCTTACTTTTCCTTAATTTTCTAGAATGTTGGGCCTCCCCAGTGGCGCAGCAGTTGAGCGCTGGGTTGCGAAGCTGCCCGCAGCCTCTGCAGCACCGGTTCAATCCCCGGCTGCTCCCCGGCCACGGGGCGAGGGTCCCACATGGCGCGCAGACCTCTCCTGCCGCCCGCTGCTCCCCTCAGCAGTGACCTTCGGTCCTTGACCTTCGGTCCTTCTGCCTGCTCTGCTCCCCGCTCTGGCTCTGGTGAATTCTCTCACCCTCCCACGCTTCTGACTGTACCCAGTGCTTGTATAAATAAATAAATAAATCTTTAAAAAAAAATTTTTTTTTCTAGAATGTTGGACTTAATGACTTGCTTCTAACCAATAAAATATGAAGGAAGTGATGGCGTGTGATTTCAAGACTAGTCGGAAAGCACACTACAGTTTCCTCCTAGCTCTCACTCAGATGATACATTCTGGGTAAAGCCAGTGCTATATCAAGTGTCCCTACAGCGAGGTCCGTATGGTGAGAAACTGAAGCCTCTATCAACCGTCAGTAACTTTCTTGACAGGCATGTAAGTGAACCACTCTGGAAACAGTCCCAACCAAGCCTTCAGATGGCTGTAGCTCCACCTGACATTTTGACTGCAACATCTCAAAAGAGCCTTGTCAATACCCCCTCCTAAGCTGCTCCTGCATTTATGACCTAAGAAAATATGAGATGAGTGTTTATTGTTGAAAGTCATATCATCTTGAGATAATTTGTTACTTTATCAATAGGGAACTTCAACAACAAACTTAGATTTGAAAGGAAATTCTTTAACCATAGTAGACATTTAATGATGTAACTCTTGATGCATTTTTTGTAACATTCTGTAAAGTAAGTTAAGCCTCCTATTTAAACTTGAGATCATATTGAATATTCAAACCAGAAGACAAGAAAAGGAATAAGGATTAGAAGAATTATCATTTGCAGGTAGCATGCTTTCTAATCATCAAGATTACTGAATACAAGAGTACCATATAACATCAAGCATGCTCCTATATGAGAGATATAACTAATTAGAACATATAAAGGAAAACTAATCACGTAAGAAATAGCTACGAAAATCCTCAGGCTTGGGGATTAAATTAACAGAAATACAAGACATGGAGAAAACTGAAGACCTTTATTCAAAGAATATAAAAGAACAGGTGACTAACAGATATATCATGTTTAGAGGGAAAAAAATAGCTTCTCAAAATTAATCCATAAATTTAATATAATTTAAATCAAAACCCAAATGAAGGGGGGACTGGATATATTATAAAGCAAAAACATCTAAAACCAGGCAGTACCCAGAAACAAGACCAAATATGTGTGGAAAACTAGAAAGGTGCTAATATTAAAGATTAGTACCATCAAAGTAGCCAAAATGATGTGTAAACAAATGGGGGGACAGTGTGCCAGTAAAATTTTATTTACGAGCGTTGAAATTTGAATTTCATCTAACTTTCACATTACAAAATATTTTTTTGACATTTAAAAATATTGAAAACCTTTCTTAACCTATGAGTTGTCATACCAGCTCTACAGTACAATACTAGGGGGTATAAGGCCATAGGGAATGCATATTTTCAATATGAATAAATACAACCAATTTATTTTTTCAGTGTAGAGGGCTACTGATACTTTGGTGGTGGGCATGGTATACATTTGAAGAGGTATAAAACATACAGTGTTGTAATCCAACATTACCTCAATAAAAATAATTTGGTTTGCCGTAATACCTACTTCTCTGATTATTTTTCATAAGCTAAATAATAATAATAATCACAATCTCCTTAGGTGAACAGTCAGTGTACAGGATAAAAGTTAACATAGTAGATCTGAGATTGCTATCTTAGAAAAGGCTTGTTTGCAAGTTTTGCCCTTGGTTCTAGAAACTTGGGTGATAAACAGTTCCCTAAAAGAAATAAAACACAGTGCAAATATAAGTATAGCTCACTGCACCTAAATTGTACAAATACTATGGTTTGTGCGAAACATCTGCTTTCCTTCTGGAAGCATGAAATGTTGGTATATGCTCAGCTGAGGGCGCCTACGGAACCAGTGCCAATAAAAACTTTGGCACTGAGTCTTTACGTTTCCCCAGCAGACAACACTTCATAGTGTTGTCACAATTCTTGCTGGAGGAATTAAGTACATCCTGTGTGATTCCACTGGGAGAAGACTTTAATCTTCATCACAATATACTTTTTCTCTTTCCAGTATGTTTTTACATCCTTTTGCTACAATAAAACTTAGCTGTTAGTATGATTATGAGCTGAATTTTGTGATACCTCCCTCTTAATCACTGAAGCTGCATATGGCCTTGGAACTACCAATACAATCAATATATTAAAACAAAAATAAATGTCTATTACACCAACTACTGAAATTCAAATTTGGGTTCAAATTTAAATTCCAATACTTATTATTATTAGTTATATAATCCTGGTAACACTACTTTATTTGCATATACCTGAGCCTCTTTATTCCTCCACGTGAGAAAAACACACCCATAGTCCCATTACACTTGAGAAAATGAGGTAATGCCTAACATACTCATACATAGCACACACTCAGTAAATCTTAAATAATATTTCTAGAATTGCTTTCCTAGATCAAATAAGAAATCAGAACCTATGTGTAGTGATGCAATGAGAATTCAAATGGTGGCCTCCCTGGTGGCCTAGGGGTTAAGTCTCAGCATTATCACTGCTACAGCTTAAGTTCAATACCAGGCCAGAGAATGAACCCGCATGTGGTGCTGCAGATCTCTCCTGTCTCGCCTGCTGCTCATGTTAGCAGCATATTTCAATAAATCCGCCTGTTCTGTTCCCTACTCTATCTCTGGTAAATGCTCTCACCCCCAGTAACTCTGGCCTACACCCCAGTTCTTTTACACACAAAAAAAAAATGAAATAAAAAAAGAATTCAAATGTCATCTGAGCACTGCACAGAGAACCTCACCAACAAACTTTGATCCTGTATTTTCAACACTGGCTCTGAGAGTGATTGCATGTTCACATTATAGGATTATTGGTTAAGTTCAAGCAAGAAAAACCCTATACAGTAAACATTTACTTATTTCTAAACCTAGTTTTCATTTAGTCTTTGAATTGATCTCCCTAATGAAAAAAGAATTTACTAATTAATTAGTACTGGGCTAAGTTTGATAGTTACAGTTCTCAAATTACTAAATTGGGATTTTAGTACAAGCCATTCTCATGTGTATATGAGGCATAAAATCCAATAAACATCAGTTTGAAACCTACAGAGCTGTAAGATTAAATCTAAACGTAAAGCATAGTGCAATCCTGAAGTTATTCACCCTAGCTATCAACTTACCCCAAAGTGGTTTTTCAAATGAATTCATATCCCATATCCACATGTCCCACATCTCCTGTTGAAAAATAAATTTCTTAAAATCAGTTTATTACAGAATAACTCTATTCCCTCCCCCCTTTATCTCAACCACCCTATTCCACGGGACCTATTCATAGGGCAGCCACCACCAGAGGGTGAGGACTGATCAGCTATTTCCCCAACGCTGAGCACAATACCTGGTGCACAGAAGCTGTTTAGTTAATGCCTATTATGTGAATGAGTTAGACAATGAATAAAGTATCACTGTATGCCAATACCAAGCTTAGGGTAAATACTATGAAAGTATCCTCCCTCTTAGAAATTTCTTAAAGATATTTACTTTCTAGGTGGAAAGTGAAAGATACATAGATAGCAAAACCTGTGCTGGACGGCTTGTTCCATATCTCATCCGTAGTAACCCGTATTTTTCACTGCATTAGACTCCCAAATGAATTGGGAGTGATCATTGATCCTTCTCTGCTAGACTACCTACTCTTGATTGGTTTAAGCCAACCGTGGTTGTTCTATTCCTCTTGCTAGTACAAATGACCAAATTTTGACCCATAGGGCCTGAGGGGAAGTCTGCAGGGAAGCATTCAAGAAGTTATGCTCCCTTGCAGATATACTAACAGAGAAACTATACTTTCCTACCCCTGGGGATACTGGTTGTACAGCATACTTAAAGCCCTGCAGCCACCTTGAGGTCATGAGGATTTGATGGTGACTAAGTGGAAAGCAAAAGGACCCTGATGGAGCCACTGAACAGACCAATTCTGAAATCTCCTATGTCTGGACTTCTTGTTATGTGAGTTGTTAAAGCCCTCATTCTTTAACTGGTTACGCTGCTATTAGTTAAAAAATATCTCAATATACCATTCTGCAAGCTATCATTTCTAACTCAGGTATGTGTCATGTGAAAAATAAATGAAGCTGTGAATCAGTGGAGGATCAGAATTAAGGAGTCTACTTGGCATAGAAGCAAAATTTCAATGTAAATTTAACAGCTACAAAATTAAAGTTGGTATATAACATGCCATCTTAGACATGGTTATTTAACCTGTCACAAGATCACTTATCCCTAGTTTCCTTAATCTTAAATAAGTATCAAATATGTGCGAGACATTATGCTAAGTGGCCTGATGAAAAAGACTCAGACCCTATACTCAATGAGCTTGCAGTTCAGTGGCAAAAGAACAGGTGTATTCATGTGGCACTTCACAATTTACAAAATGCTTTTAAATCTTTTCTAGATGATTTGCTCAGTGCTACACTCACCTGTACCCTCACAAGGTGTGTGGCCACACCAACAAACTACACCCGAAGGTCAATAAGGCCCCATGATCAGCTACTCCTCGCCAGTAGGACAGCCTCCTGCCAAAGCCCCTGTGGCCCTAGGCCTTTTCACAGACTGGAGCAGAAAGGAAAAAGTGAATATATATCGAACACAAGATAACCCAGATTCTGGAATTACAGGCAAACCTCAGAGAGACTGCAGGTTTGGTTCCAGACCATCACAGTACAGTAAAGGTGCAACAAAGCAAGTCACACAAATTTTTTGGTTTTCTGATGCATGTAAAAGTTATGTTCATGCTACACTGTAGTCTATTAAGTGTGCAACAGCATTATGTCTTCAAAAATTTACATAACTGAACTAAAAAATACTTTATTGTGAAAAAATGCTAACCATCATCTCAGTCTGGTCAAAAAACAGTAACAATAGACTTTCCTGACTTGTTATAAATCTTCAATTTGTAAAAGACGCAATATCTGTGAAGCACAACAAAGTGGAGTGCAATAAAATGAGGCAGGCTTGTAGTCAACAAAGACTATAAGCAGCTACTATAAATATGTTCAAGAATTTAATAATAAATAAAGAGACGGAATGCTCATCAGACAAATGAAAAGTATAAAAAGGATCATGCAGAATACAAAGTCTGAAATGGAAAATTCACCTGACAGGTTTGAATATTAGATTTGAGACAATGGAACACAGGGTGAGTCAATTTACAAAGAGAGCAAAAGCAATTTTCCAATCTAAACATAAGAAAATGTTTTTAATGAACAAGACATCGCAGTGAGCTATGGTACGGTAACAAAGTTCAAGATAAGGTACTGAACAAGTGGAATGTGAAATCAATTTCCCTTTGTTCCATAAACAGTAATACAACATGTGTGCATAAGGCAGTGGGACAGGTGCTAAACAGAAAAAGGTAGGTGTCTAGGATGCAGTTTTGACATGAAGGAACAATGCAGCAAGGGCATCAGACCCCTAAATACTATGACACTTGCCCCAGAGGTCATGCAGAGAAAAGGATCACTTATGGCTGGCAGGATCAGAGAAAGCATTCCTCCCCACACCGTTCTCAACATGTCTTTGTGCCTCTAACCACTGAGCCTGCCCATTCCAGGAACTTGCTTATCTCCTTATCTTTCTCTGCAGTGTGAGAAACTGAGGATAAGCTCTTGCCTCACAGGTGCCTAATAAATGTGTGTGGAATGAAGGTGTTGTGAAAGTGTCACTCTCTTGGTCCAGAAGGTGAAAAAAACTGGGGAAACAAGAGCTAAGATGGTAGTGGGAAAGGTAGGTTATTTTAATCAGAAGGTGGGAGCAAAGTTATAGCAACAAGCAAATTTAGTGTGTGATTTAAACCGGATGATAGGGAGAGCACCAACGTCACCAAGGACCTTTCAATATGGTAGCTGAAAACCCTCAGCTAAGTTGGTTAGTCTGAAGAATTGGAAACATAAAATTTTTTCTTATCATCTAGTCAAGATCAACCAGAGCATATGAAAGAATAATGAATTAGAGGGTCTTAACTTTTTGATCAAGTGAACACAACATCCCCTCAAAAGTGAGGCTGAATGTCAAAGTATAAAGAAAGCTTTTAGATACCTTCTTTAAGTTTGTTTTCAGTATTTTGGTCTATAAGCATCCAAGATGAAGAGAGATGTTATCCCAAAGAGGAAAGTCTACAAGAACAGAACAGTTGAACCCAGCCTTTTGTGATGCCTATATACTTGCACAATTCCAAGGCATACAAGGAGACTTGTATATACTCCCCTAACCCCAATCAGCCAGGCGAGTCAATACCTATTGCCTGGGAGAGTGTAATGAGGTCTTGCCAAATACATAGTGAAAGGGCCCAGGGGCCCTAAGCTCTGATAAGGGATTCTCTGAAGCCAAAAGACAACCCATGAGAAATATCCAACCCCCAGGACTTTGACCTGTGAGGCTAAGGGTCTGGCTGTATGGAAGTCGGTGGTAGCAGTTCTGCCGGCCTCCAACTTCGCCACCATCATCTTGAAAAAGCCAGACACTGAGTCATTGGGTGGAGAGTCATCCCAGCCATCTTACTGGGAAAGCCTGAATGCTGGTTTCTCAGGACCTCAAGAACTGGCAAAAGGCATCAGTAGATGAATGCACCTGCCAATTAAATTTTTTAAATACAACCAAAGATATCATACATAGTTAAAGGATAAGCCTAAGAATAGGGGGAAATATACACAACAGAAATTATCAACAAAAAACGAGTATCAGAATGCACTAAAAAACTCCCTATCAAAACAAATGAAAAATGGCTGAAAGGTATGAGTAGACAAATTACAAACAGCCAATGACCTTAGCAGAATGGCCAAAATACAGGTGTTAGTAAGGAATAAAGAGAGGGAACACTCATACACAATGTTGTTCCAAGTGTAATCTGGCATGGCTACTTTGGAGAGCAATCTGGCAATTTCTAATAAAACTGAAGAAAACATTAGCATATCATAATCCTACTTCTAGACATATAGCAGTTACAATTAAACAGAACTATGTGCATCAATAAGGGTAAAAATGTTAAATGGAAAAAAAACTATGCAAAATATGTAGAGTACATTCCATTTATGTATAGTTTTAAAGTATAGAAAATAAGACATATTATTCATAGACATAAGCATACATTGTAAAGATAGGATAATATACATGAGAATAAAATACCAGATTCATATTACAGTTATTTTTGAGGAAAGAGGAAAGGGCTTCAACTACATTGGAACTTCTCTATATAAAATATCTAAACCGTGGCAGACTGCTAGCTGCTCACCAAATATCAAGTTTCCTCTTCTTGCTTATGAATCAAACCTGTGTCTTACTGAGAGTGGCAATTTGCATATCCTAGTCTCTGCAGGTTCAGGTGGTCAATAGGGTAAAATCAGGAATCACTGGGTGAGGCCGTTGAAAAGGAATTGAACGGGCAATGATTTACTTCACTGGGGCATGGAACACTTTAACCCTTATCCCTTCCTTTATTCTTCTGCTTAGAATATGAACACAAAGAAAAGAACTGCAAGGACCAGAATTTGCAACCATGAGACGACCTGAGAAAGAAGTATCACAAGCTACTGAATGGAATACAGAAAGATAAAAGGAGTAGGATCCTCGATGACCACACAGCTGCCATTGCCTGAAGATGAAAACACTCTTTAAAGTACCTCTGTGGGGAGCAGAAGGGGAACAGGATCTTTTAGAAGCAATCAAACCGAAAGCTAACTGAAACAGAAGCACACAGAGGAAAATGTTAAGACATAGAGGAAAGATGGGCTCATAACTGTTCCTTATATTCTGCTACTGTACTTTTCTGTTTTAAATTGTTTTATTTAAAAAATCTTTTATTTCTCAGATTTTAAAGAGATTCTCAAATGTTACCAATAGTCAATTGTTAGTCAACAGATCAAGCCAAACTACAAAGATAACATATATACTTTATGAAGTGGCCAATCAGCATGGATAAAACAATTCACATGGGCAGTTTCTGTATTAATGCTACTAGCACTGCTACTGCCATTTTGGATAACTAACAAGACTGTAGAAACCTAGTCTTTCGGTTCAGGACTTGGGATGAGAAAGACCAAAACCAATCTGCAGACTAAATGGAAACCTCTGTTATCATCCCTTTGCTTCTTTTTCCTTCTTACTACATTTACCAAAGCTCAGTGCCATAATTTTTTTTCCCCTCCCCACAACTGGATCATCAGGGAAAAGAGAAGGAAAAAAAA